CGAAGTGAAAGGGAAATATGTATCGTGCATCCGTTTCGTATGCGTTAGACGTACACTTTCAGAATATATGAAAGACTGAGAGCAAAAACAGCACGTCGCATCTCATCTCTTGCTTTCACTTACGTAAGCAAAATAACGAGGGATGCGATGTGATGTTTTTCTCGCAGCTTCTCATATGTCGGTCGCAACACAATTTCAAACTCAACTGGTTACTAATCTTTGAGTTTTGAATTCGTACCGAAATTATGCTCAAAGTGTAACACAGCTAGCGTCACGACGGAATTCAATGTAATCTATACTAAGTTGCTGCCAGTGTTTGGTAAAGATATCTTGCCTAAGACATTATCTATTATTTATCTAGATAATGAAGAACAAAATAACTAATAATCTAATATTTATCTAGATTTTCTAATTTTGGTTGCTATCTATCTACGGAAAAAAGATATTTTTAAGATAGTAAAGTGTTCTATGGAATTACGAATAAAATTAATAACGATAAGGTCTGGTTGCAATAGTTTTCCAATGCAAAAGTTTTGCAGCAAAACCGATTTCAAAATTTTTCGACAAAAAATCAAAATGAATAAATATTGCACCATTTTATGATTCGATATATAGTATTTTAATATATGACGATGAATTCAAAAATACCCTTTGCATAGCAAAAATGAATCAGTTTAGAATTTTCATGAAATAAATATCGCTCTTATATTACATACTACCGTCACTTGCTTTCTATATAGACTGTATATTTTTTTTGAGCTTCGCGTTCCCAGCGCCATCTCTACGTGCACCTGAAAATTAGAACAAAAAGTATGTGTAGAATGTTTGTATAATGCAAAACCATGTGTTGTGCAACGTCCTCGCAAATTATTTCGATGGCACAAACTGTGCAAAGTAATTTTAATTTATTTTCCATCACAAATTCACTAGATGCAAACAATAAATCGGTTTTTGTTCAGAGCGTAGAATGACAGATGTCACAACAAATGATTCCATATTCAAACTTCGAATCAATCAATATTCTACACATACTTTTTGTTCTAATTTTCATGTGCACGTAGAGATGGCGCCATCATGCAGTTTTTGACATTATTTGCCATTGTAAGTAATGGTAGATTACATACATACATATATAAGAAATTTTGAAATCGAAAATCTTCTGGAGAAAATTTTTACTTTTGGTATTATAGCGATTCAAACGGTTTTGATATGTTTGTTTTCGCTATTTAAATTCACTCAAATCATAAAACTACGGAAATCAACTCGACTTTACATTTTCATAAAAAAAAAACAAAACTATTTAAAATTATTTCGAAATAAAATCTCTTTAAATGATAATAGCTACTGAAATATTTTTAACAATTGCTCAAATTTGAAAACAATCAAATTTTCCTTCATTTTATCTACAGATATCTTGTAAGATATCTCAAAAGTATCTTATCTTTTATATAAAAAAGATAGTTTTATCTAATATTCATCTAGAAACTTGATCTGAAATTCCCTGTCTACCTACTATTTATCTAGATAGTAGGAGAGATATCTTTGCCAAACACTGGTTGCTGCCCACTAGTGAAAAGACTTTTGCTCAGTTACAAACAATAGGCTAGAACTCAATAGCTGTACGCAGTGGCGCTAGCTGTGCTACAGTTTTGCATTTTATACAGTCTCTTATGGAACATAATTGCAGTGTGTTTGAATTAAACATCCAATCAACTGTTTATAACCGTTTAAACGGGGAGAATGCATGTGTGTGTGCATTCGTTTCGTATGCGTTAGCCGCACGAGTTCAGCATTTCTCAGCTCTCAGCTATATGCTGAGCAGCAGCAAATCATGATACTCTGATGTTCAGTCATTTTATCCATTTTAGTCATTATTATCAGTACATCTACAAATTGCGACACGAAAGAAGTTTGTATAAAAAGTGAGCCTTTTATGTGTTTGCTTCTCTCACTCGCATTGAAATCCACATTTGAGTTATATAGACGTCTCACTCAGTGTACAAGGTTCTTTGTTCAAAAATGCAAATCCAAGTCCAAAGAACATCGAACAACATTTAAAAAAAATGATGATATGATAATTCATAAAGGCGGTGAGTGATCTTACCTCAAGGGGGTAGACATGATTCAAATGATTCGTTG